TTTTCAACTCTATATAGCATATTCTCTACTTTTGCCTAAGTACATTGCTGAGATTTCTGGCAGTTTCTGGGAAAGGTCTGCTTGTCAGCCTGCTGCCAGCTCAAGCGCTTATTATAAATGAACTGAAATTTAATTAAGAGTTTGCCATATTTTGTTTCAGTCTGTCCGAGGAACACGTCTCATCAACTTGGCCATCATCATCAAGTCGGTTGCGTCGGTTGAGTGTCTCCATTTCAGGCTCCATCACGAACAATATTAACGTCATTGTGTGGCTGGCCACTCAAGGTTCAAGCTCTGGAGGGCCCAAAAAATGCTGTTAACTAAACTTTTACGCAAAATAACACGGGAAAACATGGGACACGGAAAAGCCGACGTAGCCATAAACCTAGGAGAAAACTTGAAATTCACTTTATTCGCGGGGCGACAACATGAAGACGCTGCCAAAAATCCACTGTATACGATTAAGTATATATGTATACTGATGTCAGTGTCCCTTTTCTGAGTCCTGTTTTCCCTTTTTACCAAATTGAATTTCACCCTCGGACATGGAAAGAGCCCAAGAATTCAAAATGAGGCCGAGGCGATATGTTTATGATGCCACTTGTCTACCAAATACAATTTTCGGCATTTTGCCGCTCATATTTCAGAGCGCCATGCTCCTTGACAATTTCGTCGCTTTTAAATTTGCTTTGACATATTTTGGGCGACATCGGGCATTGGCTATATATATTTGTATATATATATTGAAAGGAAAAGGAACCCAAGAAACACGTCCCAAGACCTTCCCATCTCCAAAGTCAGTTGGGGAAATCGAATTAAAAACTCATCTTTGCTCAATTTGTGCCTGCTCCTTGTCGAGCAAAGCAGCAACCCATGTCCCACATTTCTCACAGCCAGTCACAGATGATTTGGGCTCGTGTCCTGGCCAAAATGCCATCCATCCTTGCCATCCTTTCGATGCTGTTTCTTTCTACTTCTTTTTTTATTGTTTTACTAGCAGAAAATCTGTTTTATTTGTACGTTTTTATTGTTGCTACGAGTAATTTAATGTGTATTGCATTTAAGCTAATATTTGAGTTGCTGCTCGGAGGTTTTAATGCCGCTTTTACGATCTTTTTATTGCCTTTTTATTTGCTTGGACCTCGAACCTGACTTGATATAGCACTGGTTGGTCAGTGGGCCCAAAGTGGCTCAACTTTACTCAACTAATTTCGAGCAATTACAACCGAAGAATGGAATGAGCATGAGCTTCTCTGTTTTATTAATTATAATTTCCCGTCAGCCAATTGCTTCATTTATGAGGACCAACACCCTCGATATCAATCATCCTAAAGGGCCATTTTCGGTTGGAATTGCAACCCTTTGAGGACACATTACACACAGTTGGCTGGACTGGCTTTATGTGTTCCCCCCCCCCTTTTCAGAGGCGGAGGAAACAAAAGGGGTTCTTTCTTAATCTCGACTTGGTCACTTCAAAGGAGTTGGTCTGTGCGTCTGGAATGCAAACAAAGATTATCTTTGCCACAATTTATTTACCTTTCGCTGACCAAACCAGTTTACGATTTTAATCAAAATCCAGCCGGAGCAGTCGGAGCTGCCATCAAAGCAAATAGTTGAGCTGCTGTCACTGTGCAAAGGGTAAAAGGGCAAAGGACAGAGGGCAGAGGGCAAAGGTCCAAAGGCAGCCGGCTAATGCCCAGTGTCCAACCTAATTTGACGCTGACGAGAAACGAGAGAGAGACTGGATGTCCGCCTGTCTGTTTTTCCCACTGTCTGTCTAACTGTCCGTTTGTCCGTTTGTCCGTTCGTCCATTTGTCCGTTTGTCCGTTTGTCCATTTGTCCGTTTGACCGACTAACCAACTGACTGACGGACATGCCAGTCTGTGCATAATGCTTATTACCGCAATCATTTACTGCACTTGGCCATGGCCCCTCTATCCTAGGCCTGGTCGAGGTCCTGTTCCCGGGAAGAAAGGACTCCTGGTCCTGTGGTACCCCTTCCATGCGGAGCCCCATTTCCCCAGGAATGCAATATGCAATCTCCAGGCAAACGCACTCGACTCCCGCACATTAGTAAAAGTGTTGCGAGCAGTGAGAGAATAAACAAGTGAACATTGTGCCCTTACTAGGGTATTACACTCAGAGAAATCTATGATGAACTTGACCTTCATTTAAGAGGCTTAAAAAAATAAGACAAAATATATAGTACTAAAAAAAAATTGTTTTTAAAATTGAAAGGGAAAAGTCACTTTTCGGTTGTTATCTTATAAACATTATTTTTAATATTTCCACACAATGTAATGTAAATTCATTGTGATTAAGTTCTTATGACACTTGATTATTGACTAATTTTAAAAAGTCAAGGCATTTCAAACATGACTTATTATATTACTTAAAAAAAATTTTAAAGCTGTTAAAATTTGTTTTCTAAGTTGACATAACATTTAAAATAAATACAGTCAGTTAGTCAAAAATGAAGCCAGTGTCATAAGGTCTTAATTTTCAACGATGATTCTATGCGAAATTGTTGATCTCATTTTTTCTTTGCCACGCCTATTAAAATAACTATTTCTCAAACGATTTAAATTTATAAATTAGTCCTTCTTTAGTAACAAATTAGCAGCCTTTGGCTTTTTTCCCAGTGCCGACATGCAACAGTTTCCACTATTTAATGGCGATCTCCGAGCAGCCCGCACTCCAAGTGGTTAACACACATGTGGGTGAGTGGGTGTGCGTTTGTGCCGTGACATGTTGGCTATTATGAATTGTGCAATTGTCGTCAACGCCAGCGAGATGCCATCCCCATTCAGCGCCGCTTTAGGTTCCCTTTTTCATTCGCCATCGCCATACCATCTCCATACCATTCCCCATACCATCTGCATCTCCAGTTGAGCTGACAGTCAGTCAGTCACTCCATCTCCATCTCCCAGCTTCTACTACCAAGCTTTTGGCCCCATATCACTCCTTCTGTTAGTCACTTCTAGTGCTTGGTTTCATTCCGATTGCCTGCTCATCATCCAGCAGCTCTTTGTTTGGACTACAAGGACGAGGGCGACTACCATGGCACACACGGCGTATACTGAATGCAGCCTGCGTTTGCCTTCGTTTGCTTTCGTTAGCCCTGCATTTGCCGCCATTTTTCAACTGACTGTATTTCTTCCTTTTTTTTCCATACCATTGCTTTGTTGTTCCTGCTCGGCACTCCTGGTAAATGACTCTTCAACGTTTGTCGTATTTGTCTGGCAGCACTTTGAAGTGCCAAATATTTTTACATTTGTATACTGTGTTGCCTTTTGTCATTTGTTTTGGCCATTAGTTTTGCTGCCTGCTGCTGCCTGACAAATGCACTTCTCTCGCCGGAGCCACCGAAAATCGAGCTGCTTTAGCATTTATGACTACGGCAAGCACTCTAATTAAGCCACCAAGTGCTTCAATCAGCAGTCAGGTGAGAAGCGCCGCAGTTAATCAGGCGAGCAAGTATTTAATTAAGTGCCGGAAATGGAAATGCAATGGGTTTCATTAGGTTCTTCGCACTGCAAAATCTTTTACCGCCATTTCAGGTGGATCAGGTGTTTCTGGGTGGTTGCCTTATCACTATAACATTTATGCGCTTTTCCCGGCGCATCAAAGTCATCAAATGAAACGAACGTCGCTCTATAGATATATATATATCAAAAGTACCTACTCTGAATCGGATTCAGAATCACAATCTGAATCTGTGCGCTGTGGGTGTAAAGCTGTCAGCTAGTTTGCATTCATCAGCAGCAATGCCGGCAATTGAGTGACACCATCCTCATATTCCACTATCACCATCATCATCATCATCGTCATCCTACCATACCCATCTCAAAGATTTACATGACAGCAGTTGCAGTTCGTTCGCTATTCATTTGCTGGCAGCCCTTCTGATTGCTTGTATTAGTGATTGTCAGTTGGCTATAAAAGGGGCGGTGGGGCGGCAGGGGGCGTGGCTGTCTCTCCATTTGATTGCCATTGCAACACACGTAAATCTCTTGTGCTTATGAATATGCGAATGGCGAATAAAATTCCATGTTTGTCACTCCGAATTGATTGAAGTGTGAGTCCCGAGTCCTGAGTCCTGCGTTATATATCACAACATCCTCTTCATTATCCGTGTGCAACTATTATTGGTTTGTCCTCAAAGGAGGAACAGCGCTTTGAGCGCTTCAAAACCAATATATTGATTTCTGGCTGTGCAATTGACTGGCGCCCTTCGGCGCAAAACCTTCGTTACTCAAGTTCCGAATACCAATCAAACAGTTTCTTATGCCCATTGTGGCCTTCTGTCGGCACTGGGCAAAGCATTTAAGCCATTAACACGCAAAGGTCGCCAAATGGTATTGATTATGACCGCTGGCCAGACGAAGGGGCCAAAAGCCCCCTCTCCTCCGCCACTGCGAAACGATAACAAATAACAAATAACAATAACACACAAACAATCGGCACAAAGAGTCCGTCTATGACTTTGGGGTTCGGGTTTGTCTGGGGGGAAATTCAAGGCTTTTATGGCTAAACTGTTTTTCCTTACATTGTCTGGCTTTCTCAGTCCGGGAAATCATTCAAGGATGATTCACAACTGTCAATTAATTCGTGATCCCATGTTATTATCATTTTTGTACCATAATGATTACATGAATTACACTTAATGCCCATTAGACTTCAGCTATCTTATTCTGATACTTTAATAAAAAGTGGTATAATAATAATCAATCACTACCAATTTAAAGAAGTGGTTCTTAGAAGACAGTCATCTTGTTATGATTAATTAAATATTTTAAAGAATTTATAGAAAAAGATATCATTTTTATTTCTACCGATTAATAGAAGTGTTTTTAATAGCCAGTAGATTTCTTAGAAGATAGTCGCCTTGTTTTAATACTTTAAATAAATGGATGAACAAAATTTTGGTATGAACTCAACACAATCTATATTGCAAAATCATAAATGAGTTTGAAAAAGTCCATACAAAAGACCTTGCAAATTTTTGAAGCAATTCAATTTTGACAATTTTGATAACTTTTCCTATCCAGTACACATCATACGCTTCTGCTCCTGGTTTTACCCTTCAAAGCCTTTCTCCTTGCTCTTTTCGAGGGTTTCAAGTACGACCTGGAGTTACGACAAGTATTTAGCGAATCGGTACTTGCCAGAAAGGCCATTAATCAATAAATACCATTCGCCAAGGGGTATGTAAACGTTGCACACGCAGGCATTCAGCAAATGCAGGACCCCCGCAATTATGCCAAAGGCGCTCGAAATATAGAACATGAATGCGAACTCGTTGCCGCAGTGATCGATCATGGCCACCGCGAGGGTGAGGGCGCATACTATGCAGATGAGGCCGCTGGCGAAGTTAAACGTCATCGCCTGTAAAACACACTCGTTGAGCATTCATCATCACCGCCAAAAACCCCAATCGAATCCCCGAAAAACCCCCATATGTGTGTACGCACAATTGGATCGAGGCCCACGGTGGTGCAGCACAGCCGGAATGCGACGAGCACCACACTCTGGAGGGCAATGAAGGGCAGCACAAAAGTGTACATCCAAACCGATATCCTGTACTCCTCGCCCCGCACACAGTGGGTGGATAGGATTCGGATGAGAAAGACCAGGGCAATCACCTCCAGCACCTAAAGGACAAAGGCGGATATATTACTGGACACCCGTGGTATAGCAAAATTCCAATTCTATTCACCAACCGCCGTTAGCAACTGCAGCACAAAGTTCACAATACGAAAGGGAAAGCTCATGATGGAGACCAGAAATTTTGTTCAACTCGTTGACACTAAAAACAAATTTGCCTACAAGTGGAGATTTTGAGAGGAACAGGTTGAGAGCACTTTCTATTGTAATTCGTTTGTAATTTGAATGGCTTTAAGTCCGAAATTATTCACATTTTACCTTCTTTTGAAAAACAAATGAAATTAGTGTGACCAACTACTTTAAATTTGCATTTCATAGCATTTTGGGCATACTAATTTCATTAAAATCTTCTTTATCCATTGTTTTTCATTACTATTTTAGTACTTCGGTATTTCTTCTCAATAAGTAAGACCACTTCATGAAATAGCTTTCTCTATGACTTTGCAAAATGGTATCCCGCATAAGCACAGTATCTGTTTATCCACTTGGCAGGAAAATTTTATTGCTTTCTCTCGTTCGTTTTTTTTTCGTTTTATGTTTTTCATTTTGTTTTGGCCTAGCTAATCTAATTGGCCTCGATAGCGCTTGTTGAGCGAAGTCGTTGCCCCGCCACGCATTTGTTGCTTTGTTTGCACTAATTTCATTACTTGTGGAATGTGGCGATGATTTCATGCAATTTAAAGCCACATTTTTCAGTGGCAAGGCATTTAGCATAGTACCTGACCGGACCGAACTGGACCCGGACCCAGACCCATGGAACTCGGGGACCCAAGTGCCTAAGAGTCGTCGCATAACCGGCTAGTGGCTAGAGGCTAGACCCACTCCAGGCTTTTATAATAATTGCCTGTTGACACGGGATGGTCGAGAGGGGCTGAAGCCAACGTTAGAAACGTGGGTATTCGCTTTCGGAACGCCGACTGGGATCGAGCAATGGAAATGCCGTTGATAAATGAAATTTTCAAAACGTGAACCAACAAAAGGGGACAAAAAAACAAACGAATTCAAACCGAACACAAAACAAGCGGAAAAAAGGGGGCGGCAAATATAATTTAATTTGTTCGCCTTTCAAAAGGTGCTCAGCCCTTTTTTTTTGGCCCGAATCCCAAACGAGGTTTGGTTAAGCCTTGATTGCGCAGAAAAAAAACACTTAATTTATTAAAAAGAAATTCCCCCATTGATCAATACTTCTCCAAGTCAATTGGCGTACCCCCATTCTCCCCCGAGTGACATAAATTTTGTCAGCTTTGTTGCGACAATTGCATATTAGCCAAACATGACAACGTTTCGCCTTTTCCTGGGAAATTTATGGAAAAATGTTGCAAAGACAAGAAAAAACTTTCGCCTTGAGATGGAGTTGGAGATGCGAAGTGAAGTCAACTCAACTCCCCAGTGGAGGCCAAAAAAACGAGCTAAAGGCACAGAAACACGAGGAAGAGAAATGTTCTCGAATAAACAACAGCGGAAATGTAGGCTATGATTTGCTTACTTCTGTGGCAGGGGAGGGGGTTTTCTGGTTTCCAAAGGGACTTGGACCAATGACAAGGGCGGTGTGGCAAAAGTTCAGAGAGCTGGCGTAACATAAATCAAATGCATGTAAAATTTTCGTACTTTCCGCACACATATCCTGTGATCCTGTGCAAGTGCATTTGGGCAGGCCCAAAGCAGGACAACCGGTGGAGGAAAGGACGAAGCAGGACGAAGGACATATCGTACGAAGGATGGTACATTATTGGTGGGCAAGTGTTGGATGGGAGTGGGAGTGCGTTGTGTTTTGTGCACATCCGTTAACTTTGTCATTTTTGCTCATTTCCTTCCGGCATGTGCAAGAAAACTGCAGTCGAGGCCGGGGCAAACGAAACGAAATGATTCCCAGCAGTGCTCCACTGAGCCACTGAGCCACCGAGCCACCGAGCCACTGAGCCACTGACAAGCCGTAAGCCGTAAGAAACCCAACCGAACTACAAACACAAGCCTGGCTGGCGAAACAAAAGCAATGCGGAAAGCGGCAATAAGTTGAGGGCATAACTTTCAGTGCCTTCAAGAACACACATGCCAGAGGCGTGCGAAGAGGGGTCGTTTGGGGCTGAAACTTAAGCTCATAACTCTTTTCACATACTAAAATTCTTGACATTTGATCGTAGTTTTTAGGACTGCATATTCCAAGACTTGTTTAATGCTTGGTAAAAACTTGAAATTTTTTAAAAATTTTAATTTTTTTTTTTACTAAGATAGCAAAAAAAAATATTTTTTATATAGATTTTACGTTGTTCATCTTTTTAAGGATTTTTGGTATGAATATTAAAGTTTTAATTAAAGAAAATGCATTCACAAAGATAAATTAATAAAAATTCAATAGGTTCACAGTGCTTCGAACACGTTGGTTGCAACCTACAAAGCAACCTACAAGCATAAAAAAAAAAAAATTCATTTAAAATTTCTAGTTTGAATAATCGTTTAATAAAGTTTGTCTTTCATTCTTTTTTTTTCTTAGCCCCTCCTGAAAAACCCTTTAAGTACACCCCTGCCTAAAGGGGTGAGCGGGTTCAGAGCATTTTGCATGAAATTAGAGTCGTAAGACACAACGAGTGCCGGGCAAAAAGTCTTGGGTCTATAACTTGCTTGTTGGAATTTAATTATTTTGCAGTTGCTGTTTCAGTGGTGCAACTTGGTCACGGGGGTCTTATTTTTTGTACATTACACGCCCACCCTGAACCCCCTCTTCCCCCACCCCTATCGCCTTCCTGCCGGGAATCATGTGCCAAAAATAGCAAAACTTTGCTGCAATTTTCATTCGCATTTATTGTGTTGACATGCTGCCACACTGCGTATACGTATCCTTGATGCAGCCAAACAATTTATTTATTTAAGTCGAGTTGAGTAGCAAGTAGGAGTTGTACTTGTAGTTGTAGTTGCAGTTTGAGAAAGCGGAAAAACTTTTCGCCGTATGTTAGTGTTTGAGAACTGGAAAATAAAAAAATACTTGTACACTTCCCGTTGTTTGCAGTTTCCTCGTATCCGATTAGATGGCCCTAGATTCCAGAGGCTCATATGGGAAATGCAGCAGGGATAAAAAAAGGTAGAAGCAAAGCGGATTCGAGCCGAACAGAAGTTAATCCCCATGCCACCTGCATTGCCGACAAGCTGGCTAAATGCATTCAAAGTCAAAGCCACATTAATTAGCATGCTTAGCTGACTTTTATCAAAAACCAATTAAATCCACACACTCACAAACACACACACACACACACACACGGGGGCACAAAGTAAAGTTGATAATTAAATGAATCTGTGTGAGTGGCTTTGAGTTCAAAGTTGGCAGCCAGCTAAAAATTTTTCTTTTTTAATTTCTCAGCGTGTGTGTGATTGTGTGTGTGTGCTCTTTGGTATAATGACACATGCGACACGGAGGTACTAAAAATATATATGCATAGCAAAGGCTTAAAACAAAAAATCACAAATAACATTATTAACGTTAAATTAAACTTTGGAATTTTTGTTTGCCCGCCCCCGCCCCAAAAAAGGACTCAAAAAGAAACGAAAAGGAGTAACTTTTCGCTGAGTGGCTGTAAAGTACATTAAAACAAGAGGGCAGAAACAGGAAACGGAAGTGAAGACCAAAGGCTTGTTTATGTTTACCGTAATTTGCGGCTCACTCTCACAACATAATCAAAGACTTCAAATAAAGCCGCAGAGTTGGTCGTAATCGAGCATCTTACCTAGTCGACTTTAACTCGACTTCTGTGCCTGAATGTAGTGAGATTTTCCCTGATTTTTCCGCCACAGCTTTTCCGCTTTCCCCCCCCCCCCCCCCCCCCCCCCCCCCCACTCGTATTTGTCAAGTTGGAAGTGTATGCGTGACACGTAGTAAATTAAATGTGAAACTCTGTAGCAGAGTGTAGCTAACTGAGAGTTTAGTGCTCGTGTGTGAGAATCCGAGTTTGAGTGGCTACAAAGAATGCTGTTGAGCATAGCTATATATATATATATATATAGTATACCCCTGCTATAAATCATCAAAGTTCAACGTTTGCCATTTTGTCTACAATGTGCAAGTGTGTTCGAAGAAGGCGAGTGTGTGAGTGTGCCATGTACGCCTGTCTGTGTTTGCGTGAGTGTTTGTACCCAAATGTGTTTGCTTTGCAATTTCCTTTTATTTATTTAAAGTTCTTTAGCAAACATTGCGCTCTCTGTACCACCAGTAACACACCCCGTCAGACACGCAGGCAATGTTCACATTAAGTTTGCTGCCAAAAGTTTTAACAAGTAATCTTTTAATTAAGTGCCAGCCAGCGCCATTCTCCTCAGACATCTCCTCAGACACTCTGGCATTCAGCAACCCTGGAAATCCTAGAAATCCCAGAATTATGAGAGCAACAGGAAGAAAACGGTGGCGGAAAAACGCACAAATCTAATTTGATTAATGGTCAAATGCTAAGCTTAATTAGTGGAAAAAAACAGCAGCGGAAAACGCGCCAAACCAACTGGAATCGGGCATTAATGGTTGCCACAAATACAGGCAGGAATAAGAAATTAAATAAATAACCACAAAACAACAACTAATTGCGCCACAAACGACAATGGCATAAACAATACTACGACCAGTGAAAAGGAAAAGCGGAAGAAAAACGGAAAAAAAAGCAGAGCTGAAAATATTTCGCAACTAATAAAAACATTGCGGTGTACTAAATCAACCGGAAAACTGTAAAACACATTGAAACAAAGGTGAGCGAGAAAAGGTAAAACGTGGGAATGTAAAAGGATAGCTATGGGTATTAGAACTTAAGATACCCACTATATCATTTTTAAGGAATAAGTTTTTTTGGTATAAAAATATATAATGACAAACCCAACAAAAGGATAGTATTTTGTATAAACATATTGGTTTTAACAAGATCTTAAGGTTATTAAAACCATATACCCTTGTATTTAACTAGATCCTTGTATATTATCGTAAACAAATATGATTTTATGGAGGAAAAAGAACATAGAAAGTTAAGAAAGGGTCATAGATACTGCTTAATATCTTATAGTTACAAAAATAATATACCCCTGTTTTACTTCATTACCTGGTAAAAGAAAGGAAACCGGGCAAAGGAAGGTGAAAATAAATGAGAAAGATGGTAAATAGTTTCCCCTAGGGGC